TATATATATATATATATATATATATATATATATATATATATATACACACACACAGGCATATACTGTATACACACCCACACACACACACGCAGCATGTGCTCATGATAGGTTTTAAAAGGGAACAAACTCTCAATTGAGTGACTTGTCACCGTAAAAAAATAAAAATGTTGTCAGCTGTAAACAAACTTGTCATCCTGAGTCCAAAGACAAAAACACGACAGTTCAGCTGCACACGTGCAGGCGCTTTCTTCAGCTAGTAATTAGACAGCTAACAGCTAACATGACTAAAGTCATTAAGGAGCTGTCACTGACACGTTCAGCTGCTTACCTGCTGTTGAAAGGGTTGTCCCCGGGTATCACATGACTGCCACCGGCAGCGATCAAAAAGCTGACCCGGTCATAAAAAGTCTTGGATGAGGGCTGGGCAGCTGCCCCCTGGCCTTGGCTGGCGACTGAAGCGGGGTCAGCTGAGCCACGACAGTAGGTCTGACCCTGGCAGGAGATTTGAGAGCAGCAGTCCGGGTCCATGCAGTCAGTGAGCCCGTCTGGAAAACAGCGAGGAGACAGTCCAGACAGGTCGGGAAAGTTTCTCTGACCTAGATACAGGAAGTCCTGACCTCTAAGTGTGCTGAGCTGGGCTCGGCACAGAGGACTTCTTACATCAACTTAAGGACATTAAAACAAGCACAACGCAGCGTAAAGCTTCCAAAGTGCCTCTCATAAACTTTGAAAGTCTGGGGCTTGATCTGGCACAAGAGGAGTCCATCAGATCCCAAGCTCTCTTTTTACTGATCTACAGTAGATTTTAAAACAAGCTGCTTAACAATCTGCTCTGCTGCCACATTTGCATATTTCTTCCACTGATGTTTTATGTATGATTGATTTGTTTTGTTTGTTTGCAGAGTCACCAAGAGGCCACATCCAAAGCAATTTCCTGTCTGGTGCAACAGCCGTTCCAGACAAGCTTTTTAAATTTATTTATTTGATTTCCGAGGCTAAAAGACAATTTGTTCGAGGCGTTTACTCCTTCCTACCTCCCTCGTTATCCTTGCCGTCGGAGCAGAGCGTTTCGGTGGCGACGTCGCAGCCGAGCCCTCTCCATCCTGACTGGCAGATGCAGTGCCAGACGTTCTGATCCAGGACGCACCTCCCGTTGTTGTTGCAAAGCCCGGGACAGCCGTCTGTCAAAACACCACGCACGGGTCAGAAACAACCGAGCGAACAACAGCAAGGAGAGCAGAAGGAGAAGGGAGGAGAGAAGACAGGAGCAAAGGAGGCAAATAGAGTGAAAAGAGACAGAGGAGGGGTAAAAACCATAGAAGACAGGAGTGAGTGAACATACAGTATGAGACACCTGGGGATGGGGGAGACTGTGAGGGGTTACAATCGTTTCACATGAGTTCAACTGAAATGCATGACTTGGTATTAATGCACTCAGATAATGCAATGCAGTCACTTTTTGTGCTTTTAGGGTTCAAATCGAACTGTGATGGAGGTTTTGCACGAATCTAGAGCAGGATTGTAGTTGGAACCATACAGCGTCAAATCCACATTCATTAAAATGCACTTGGTTCATAAATGGAAGTTTTCTTTTGTTTAGCATTGCCCAAATCACGTGTGAGAGGCTGAACATCCTTCAGTGGGAGGTTCGCTCCTTTTCCTGTGAATAATTAGCGCAGGAACCGATGCAGATGCTGGAAACACTCATGTGAAGTAACTGCAACATCAAAGGGGAAAAGGAAGTATATATGTAAATAGGAGGAAGTTGGAGAAGAAGGAGGGGGGGGGGGGTCAAGAGTCTCCACATTTACAGAAAACAGTGCACTTGCTGCCAGATCGCATTCCTTCTATAATGGAGGTGAAGACAGGGAGCCGAAACATGACTAAACCACACCAGTTCTGGGCGTTTAATCTGGCAGACACAGGGACAGTGTGGGGGTGGGGGGTGGGGGTGGGGACCGTGGAGTCTGGCGTGAGACTTGTTCAGACGGACAGGAGATGGAGGGGACATATTGGGGGGGAGCAGGGTTCACAGCAGAAACATTATGATCGACTCGGACATAAAACAGGTGTATAAACGCCGTGCTAGGAGAGACAGAGAGCAGGGAGGGATTGTTCATGACAATCTCCCTTGTGGGGGTAGTGGTTCCATTTACCTTTATATCCTATCTTGACTGCTCCTATTACACGACCGAGGAAAGGGAAACATTTGGAAAAGAAAATTACTTATCTCTGCGGTGGCAGTGTGCTAAGACTGGCAAACACATTTACTTAGAGTCAGTGGCAAAACGTGGAAACGATGTCTGGCACGCAGCTGCCTGCAGACGTGGCTTCAATATTTAGAGAAGCTCTGCAGGTTGTTTTCTCCAATATCTCTGTTGCAATCACCACGTGTCAGCTGTGTCTCTAATTTCAACCTCTCCACTGTGTACAAGTCACAGCACCGAGCTGAAGAGTTACGACTAAGCTTGAGTGACAACACACGACTGATATTACTGAGAGAGGGACGTTCAAAATGTTTTCATGGGTCCACAGTTTTAATAGTCAGCTTTATTCATAAAGCACATTTAAAACCAGCAGCTGTTACCAAAGTGCTGCACAATAAATTCAATGGCAGTAGGTAAAGAAAAAAAAAGCAAATAAAAGCATCAATAGAAAAACATAAGAACACAGAACAATGAAAAACTAAATCAGGTCACACTGTGTTCAACGTCAGAGAGAACAGGTGAGTTCTTTTAGGAGACATTTAAAAACAGGAAGTGAGGTGTCCTGTCTGATGTTGAGGAGCAGGTTGTTCCAGAGTTTAGGACCTCGACTGAAAAAGCCTGATCTCCTCTGAGCTTCAATCTAAAGCAGCTGCTCAGATGATCTCAGAAGGAACATGTGGTTGAAGTAGCTCAGAGAGGTATGAAGGTGCAAGGTCATTTATGCACTTTAAAGGTCAACAGGATCCTGGTACATACAAGGAGCCAGTGAAGGGAGGACAAAACTGGGGAAATATGATCAAACCTATAAGTTCCTGTTCAGAGGCGAGCTGGCGACGTGAAGGGGAGACCAGACTGACCCCAACATAAAGTGTGCTACAGTAGTCCAGCTGGGCTGTAATAAAGGCATGGACTCGTTTTTTCAAGGTCAGATCTGGTCAACAAGGACTTAATCTTAACTATCTGCCTTAACTGGAAGAAGCTTTTCTGCAGAACAGAGTTAATCTGTTTATTAAACTTAATATCAGAGTCTCAAACAATCCTGAGATTTGTAATAGACTGTTTAAGATAAGGCTCAAGAGAGTCCAGGTTCACAGGATGAGAGACAGCAGCAGAGCTAGGGCTGAACACGAGGACTTCAGTCTTCTGATCATTGAAACTTAAACGAGTTGAAGCCATCCATGCCTTGATGTCATCAAGACATGAATTGTGCATGAACTACTGGGTTTAAAGTGCAGATAAATCTGACCATCATCAGCATAACAGTGAAAAGAAAGACCACGTTTCCTCAGGACGGACCTCGAAGCGAGCAGATAGAGTTAAAGCAGAAGGCTCCACGAAACAAATAAAACAAATAAAAGCGTTAAAAAGCAAAAACTTTCACGGAGTATAATTTTCATGCAAAGTGAAAAGTGTCTGTTTACCTGAAACTCTGGAATCCAAGGCTACACGTGTAAGCCAAGAGGGGGCCGTAAAGAAACAGACAGGCATGCAGACATAGAATAAAGGAGAGAATGGATACAGAAAGAAGTTAGGCAGAGGAATGTGCACAGACAGAAGTAAGTTGAAAAACAATTTGAGAGAAGATGGAAAAGGAGCTTCTTCATTTTCTTCACTGCAGCAAAAGGAAACAATGTTTGAAAACCTCAGAGTGTGATTTGAATGAACACAGAGAGTAATTAATCAGAAATATAGACAACTTCACAGTTCAGATCACATTCGTCTGTAACATGGTGAACATGTTCCTGTCTGTAGAAGCAACATAAATCATTTCAGCTACTTGTGCTTGCTAAAATATTCATTGTTAACACTCTCCATCTGCTTTTGTTTTGCCTAAAACAAGAGAAACTGATGTACAAAAAAAAAAAGACCACACGCTTGTGTTCTTTTATTGATATTTGATATTTGTACCACTCTTTGTTTTTGGACCTGTGAGTCAGTTTCATCCGGGCTTCAGCGTCTGCTTGTCAGCACGTGCACAGGCTCAGCGTCTAATACGAATCAAAACACCGAGCTTCTGTATATTTTATTCTTTCATCACGTCTACTTCAGCGGTTTTATGCTAAGACAAATCAAAAACACCTTAACAGCAGACTGTGCTGCTGAGAAAGCAGTGACAATAGGCTAAGCCTTGCATATAAAACAGGATCTAGATGCTCGTGGAAAAGAATGACCAAGGAAGTGCTCCATTCAGGAGCTGACCGTGTAACGTGATTAAAAGGCGCTTTGTGCAAATGGCACTTATTCAGGGTTTGAAAGACAAAATAAGCTCCCAGTTCCTTAAAGAAAAGGTAACGCAGCACCTATTCATAGCCTCTGTCTAAAGCGTGGAGGTACCTTCGTGACGGGAACCTTGAACGGGAGAGAAGAAAGAGAAATGGATGACGTGCAGCGGCCCCCGAGGAGGGAGAGATTAATAAGATGAGGAATGTGACCTCCTCCAACAGCTACCTCACTGCAGGCTCCCTCCCTCAGAGAGGAGCGGCGGGCAGCGGACTGCTCATGAGAGGACTGGTAAATACATAATCGGGGTTCAAGAGTTTGGAGGGTCAGATCTTTTGTTTCACGGGGAACGAACGTGTCGTCATCGAGAGGCGGGGAACGACTTGTGGGAATGGTGTTTGACGCCACGTGTCAAGGTTTAACTGCGGGATCTGTGACCGAGGGGACGGCGTGGAGAAAGAGCGAGGTAAAGGTCAACAACAAGTGGCGTCTCACAACTCATTATCCTCATTAATGCCGGGTGACGCACCGCCGTTTCACACAAAACGATAATCCAAAGAGGCCGACTGGTGGATTCCAGGTTCCCTGAACACCTGCCCCCGACTCACTAAGACTGGAAGAAGCCTCACTTGAGCACTCCAAAAGCTGAACTTTATAAATCATTTCAACAAATTACTAACTTAATGTGCAGTCCTTAGAAAGACTCGTGTTCGTAAGTAAAACTGACGAACAGAGTGACGTATTTCTTGTTTTCACTTATAGAAATGTAAATGATAATAATAAAAGGTCTGTAAGCGCAGTCCTCGTCCAGCTAAATAAATACAGAAAAGGTTAAATGAGGTCATTTGAACAGTTTCTGTTTTGGGAGATTCATCGTTCATCTAAGAGTTCACGAGTCTGAGGCCTGCCAACCCAGCTCTGTAACAAATATATTATATATATTATTATATAATTATTATATATAATATATCTTATAAAGAGCAGCTCCTGTAAAGAGTCCGTCCACAACGATCAAATGTTTAGGCCAGATGACCAACTTGCCACTCACAGAAGACGAAACGTTTCTCCCAAAAGGAAACTTGTCCACATGACCTGATTTAACCTTTTTCATAATAAAATAAAACCTGCAAATTGTGTTTTCTTCAGATTTGAGCCTGAAAAATCTCAACTGTAAGAATAAGCGTGTAGGTTCAGCACGGGGAACTTTTTTTTTTTTTTACAGTGTAATTATTTTTTACTAGAATCGCTCCGTAGATTTTTACTACTGATTGCCTCCATCGTCTCTGTGCTCGTGCACAGTCCTCCGTTCTCTCTGCTCGGGCAGGTCGTCAGCACATTCTAGCCCCTCACAAGCTGGTGGCGTCCCAGCACCCACCCCTACGTTAAGTTTAAAATAAGTTTAGGCCAATTACTTGAGTAAATGTTGACATGTATTTTCAGTCTGTGTGTGGCTGACCACATCCTGACTGCACGGTTTGCTTCAGGAGAAACTGGATGGCAAGAAGCAGAAGTTTGGCTCCGCAAGCTAAAAATATCACTAACAGCTACTCATGACTAGTTTGCCAAAGTTGTTAAAAGAGTGTAGGCAGCAACAGAAGTCTAACATGATCTAATGACTGAAACCTTTCAGAGGATACTGACATTCACACTCCAACACTGCCCTTCTTTCCCTGCCAATAATTGAAAGTCCTCTGTGGTTTGGGTTTCTCTGGAAAACGTGTGTGGGTGTGGAGCACGGCATGTGTCACCGTGGCTCACCGATGGTGCAGTGTTCACCCGTCCAGCCCTGGTGGCAGTCGCACTTGCCCTCCCGGCAGACGCCGTGGTCGATGCAGCGTGGGTGACAGTCCCTCTGCTCACATTCTGGTCCCGTCCAGCCTTCCTCGCAGTGACACACGCCGCCGATGCAGGAGCCGTGGGGACCGCAGTCCACCACACACACCTCTGTTACAAAACACAGAGCCGCTCAGACATGTAGCTGCTGTCGTGTGAGACAGAACAACTGGCCCTTTGGCACTGATGTGTTTCTGCATTCTGTGTAGATGCTGGGATAAAAAATGCTGCGATGTTTGCTGAGAAGCTTTTGCTCCCGCTGTTAAAATGGGTCAATAAGTTTAACGGTAAACAAAACTTGCTTTCAGCACTGCTCCCATCAAAGGCCCGATAAGAAACCCCGACTTTGTGTTGCAACAACTGCAGAGTGTGGAAGAATTTGAAATGACTCAGACTCACTGCTGCTTGTTTAAGTTCAGCACATGATGCAAGGTTTTACACAGAAAATGCCAAATATTCACAGTTTGTTCATGATTTGATGAATTGGCCTTCTTTTTTTAAAGAGTCCAGAGTGCAAACAAAGTTAAGCCTTCATGCTAACGCATCAAAGCCTGAAATTATTAAATGTCCAATAATTCACACAATAGATGCAGAACACAAGCAACAAGCTTCCTTCAATAACTGTAACTGTCATCAGCTTCAACAGCTCAGCCGAAAGTCCTTAGATTTTTAAGCTTGGACTTGACTTGTGTGATTATCAAGCATGTGATCCTAGCCACTTCTAATTCCTTCTGTGCGTTTTTCAGCATCTTTCTCATCCCACAGTTTTCAGCTATTTCAATAAATCATACATCAAAACCTTCAGCTCTTTCAGAACAATCCTGCTGTGACTTTTGGTGTTGGTGCAACTTTAGCTTTTTCAAATATTTTGCCATTTTTTCTCATAAAAAATGAATTGAGCTCATTTTCCATCCTTCAAATCTTGAAATCTGTTTACAACCTGTTCCTGCTCTTTCCACATTTTGTTCTGCTTCAGCTTCTTTCTGCAAATAAAAAAAATTAAAAGTCATCTACAAATGTACTTTCAGCTGTTTTGTGCTCCTTTCTAAGTCTTTCTGCTAATTTCAGCTTATTTCTGCAAGTTTCAGCTTTTTCTACTATTGCAGCTACTCTTTAGCTGTTTAATGCTAATCTTAGTTTGTCCAGCTAATTCCACATTTTTTGCACTCATTTCAACTTTTATTTTCAGGCTAATTCAGCATAAATGTGCTCTTTCCACTCCCTTCTTATAATTTAAGCTTTTTTTCTGTCTTTTTAGTTATTTTCAGCTGCTTTTGCTTATTTCAGCTTTTTTGCAATTTCCTCTGTTTTGTGCTAATTTCTGCTTCTTTCAGCACAATTGGCCAATATGTGTTCTTTCTGCTTTCTTCTGCTGATTTAAGCTTGTTCTTCCTTTTCAGCCACATTTCAAGCATTTTTGAAGCTAATTTCAGCTATTTTCTGATAAATTCAAGTTTTTGTAGTAATTTCTGCTACTTTTAGTCTAATACACTTTTTAATACTAATCCCAGCTTGTTGTGCTACTTTCAGCGTTTCCGCTCTTTTAGCTAATATTTAGCTCTTTTGATGAAATGTTTTGCTTTTTCAGCTAATTCTACATTTTTAGCTCATTTTAGCTTTTTCTGCATCCTCCATTGTAGCTTAAGCTTCTTTCTGCCGTCTCAGCTGTTTTTTGTTGCTAATGTCAGTTTTTAAAGCTATTTTTTCTGCTTATTTAAACCTAATTCAGCAAATCTGTGTTCTTTCTGTTTTCTTCTGCTAATTTAGGCTTTTTCTTCCATTTCAGCTACATTTCAGAATTAGCTTATTTCAGCTGTTTTTCAGCAAGTTCTTCTGCAATAATCATTCACACTGCATTTTAGCAGGAAACACATTTTCTTTAGTTCATACGTAGTTTTAGTTCACCTCAGAGACACCACATTTCTCCATTAAATTAAAACATCAAGAAAAACATTAAAACAAGAACCTTTCTGTGTTTTCATGACGCAGAGCGTGTGTTTTGATGGGATCCCATAAAATGAAAGTCAAATTTACTTAGCAATAAATTCTGGAGAGCCTAAATTATTTCATCAGCAAACTGCGACGCCCACCTTCCATCTGAAAGTGTTTACAATATAAATTAAAGATTTGTCTGGAGGAAAGACGGAAAGAAAAATCCTGCTACACGTGTCCTCCAACGTCTCTTCTTTATTGACACTTTTGTTTGTGCTGTGATCAGAGTTATCATTTTATAGATTCAAATATTTATTTATGCACTCGCGTAAATGTGAAACAACACTTGTCATCCCTCAGAAAGCGTGTAAGAATAAAACATTGCAATTACTGTATGTCTAAAAGCTTCCAAAAGAGCCACTCCATCGTTTGCCGGAGCTCCACTCGCCCGAGCGTCTTAACAGACTTGAAGCGAGGGTTGTGGATCCAGGCGGCTCCTTTTGTCTCGACTCAGAGACGAACGTGTTTTCTTAAACTGCAAAGAGAAGAGCAGCTGTTGTGGATCTGCTGTCTCTTAAGAAAATTCAAATAATTGAATCCAAAATTGGTGAGCACTCGTACGCTCACGTTAAAACTAATGCTCAACAAGCTGCTCCTGCTCTGCTGGGAGACAAAGACATGTTGATTTGCAGGAAACGAGCTTCAAACGTTCGGAACGAAGCTTTTGTTGTGGCAGACTCCTCGTAGAGAAGAGTGGTTTGAAAATGGCCTCAAATTTTAAAACGGTGCAGAAAATATCGTTACAAAGGCCCGCCGCAGAACGACGTTTGTAACGTTCAGAAAACTTCAGGAAACGAGCGAATGAAGGAAGCTGCTCGGCAGGTGACCAGAACCTGACGGTGGGGCGGCTGTGGCTGAGTGGTTAGAGCAGCCATCCTCCAACAGGAGAGTTGAGGGTTCAATTCCACCAGCAGTCACGTGCTGAAGTGTCACTGGACAAGACACCGAACCCCTCATTGCCTCCGACGTGTGTCCCATCGGTGCATGACTGTGATAAAGTTCTGATTAGTCTCTGTAGAGGTAGTAGTAGAGCGCTGTATGGACGGCTACATGATGGCACACATTGTGCTGTAAACAGCTTTGAGTATCTTGATCAGATAGAAAGGCAAGTCCATTTATATTTACTATCAAGGAAAAATACGATTTTCTTTAAAGTCCATGAATGCACCAAAGCATCTCTAAAGATCTTAGTGGGCAACAGCATTCATGAGGAAGTCTCCAGAAAGTCTCAACTTTTGAGAGGATCTCATTGTGTGACTCCCAGAACACATGGAACAATTTGTTCGACTTCTTCTACTAAATAATCACGGGCTCGTCTTGAAAGCAGCTGAATTTATCCGCCGCCTGTCTTAAGGTTGCTGAAGCTGTGTTTGATCCCTCCACAGGAGTTCTGTTCTGACAGAAAAACTGTCCAGGCTTAAAAGCCACACTGATGTTGAACATTAATTATTGAGAAACTGGTCCAAATCTGCCAGTCTTCAATGTAAATGTGTACTCTGCTCCTGCAGACTTGGCGGGGGCTGCTGAGGTGGGATCAAAGTGAGCCGAGGTAGACGGAGGTGGCGGCAACATAACATGCAGCCACGAGTTTTGCAAACTGCGAACACAAAACAGACGTGGTTTTCAAAAAGTGGACACAAACAGCCACACGGTCGTTAACAGCCAGAGCTCAGAGGCTGCAGCCGGAAATACAAACGCTTTCCAGTAATTCTGAGGGATTTTTTACATCAACTAATCCAGTCGCTGCTCAGAGAGACCACTTAATCTGCTGTCACCATCGCATCAGTTTGTTGTCAGTGTCTGAGAGTCTCCATCAGAAATAATTCAAGTTAATTGTTTTTGCCATCTGTAAGAGGTTACACAGAAAAATAAGATGCAAGAAAACATTTTCTACTGATGCTCTCACTCTGCGCTCCGGAACTCACAGGGATTAACAGAGGACAAATAAAACGGGATTAACAGAGGACAAAGAAAACCCAGATCTCTTCCTGAGACTACAATCTGCAGGAACGGAGGAAATGTAAAAAACAGACTTTGTTCTTTGATGGTTAATAAAATCAAGTTGTATTTTGCCAAGCAATCAGAAAAAGACTTAAAAACTTAAAATAATTGTGTTTAATATTAAACTTTGATGTCAGAAAATGATGCAATTTATTTCAAATGACAGCCAAAGATGACGGGATTAAATAACTCTGGTTTATAAACAAGACATAATGTAGCTCCTTTGAGTCGATGTCAATCCAAATGAACTGAAATTGATTTTTTTTTTTGTTTGTAATTTTATCTTTGCCAGGTATTTTGAACTATATAAATTTTTACTGCTAAAGACAGCATGCCTGGCAACTTGGTGCCATTTTGCAGAAAATGCAATAACAAAAAAAAATCTATTTTCAATTCAACAGTCATTTTTTTTATTCTGCCTGAAGTTGGTAAATAAATGTATATTTATTATATTTCCAATTATTCCTCAAAAAGACAGTGTACCTGTCCGTAATCCTGACGGACGGGTCAGATTGTTGGTAAAAACTGGAAATCGGTCCTGAAAACATCAGCCAGTGCATCTTTACTAATTAACCAGCATCGTTTTCCAGCTCCGAATGCAACAAGTCATGAATAAAATATCCCTCATTTTGTTTTTAAATTTTCTTTTTCTTTTTTTAAGCCGGCCCTCCTCCCTTCACCACGGCTCTTTGACTGTCTGTCTGTTCCGGCTCTCTGAATGGAGTTTTTCTTCGATTGAGGGACCTTGGATGGTTCTGATTAAGCTGAGCAGACACTGTAGAATATTAAGCGTGCCTCTGGAGGGGAGTCATTTAATTCCAAAGGAATACCTCCTTCTCATAGAATCTATGCAATCAATTTTTCATTAGTGCAAAAGTGTTTATCTGCCTTTAACATGCCCCTGACTCGAGCTGGATAGGGGGTTGTGGGCGGTCGATCCATGCTACAGCTTGTTAATTAAAGTTTATTTAATTGAAGAAGAACCACAGCATTAATTACGGAGGAATCCTCCACCTATCCAGATGTGCAAACGTTAACTTTTAGGCAGCACCAAGGCCAGGCGTGTTCAGATACTCACGAATCCTGAGACGTCCTACGAGATGGTTAAAACTTTTAAA